CGAATTCCTGCGTTCCTTTTATTTTTCTGGAGTTTGGCATCGCTTTTCATAACTTACTTTTCGTGTCCTGTATTTATCGTTTATATGTTTGTTATCTATTTACTAGTGTGTGTTCTATAATAGTGTTAATTTGTGATAATAGAGACTCCCTTTACATCGGGCTCAAATGTGTCATATATTTGTGTTAGTTATTTATATATGTAAGGATCGTAGTTTATATGCTTCTTTGATTAATAAAAGTTTGAAAAATTTTATGTGGTACGTAAGGTGACCCCATTTACTCCTATACTTAATGGTATAAGAAAGTTTTATTTACAGATCTTAATACTCAAGTATGAGAAGGGAGCGGGATGTAACAAAAATACGTCTATTCCAAATTCTCTTCTAATGGCGGGTCTGACGCTGGTATTTTGGCTATCTTTCCGAAAATTAGTTCATTAGGTGAGAAGTGAGTTCCCTCATGAGTACTGGTCTTGTACGAGAACATTGCAAAACCTAACCATTCGTCCCAAACCTTTTCCTTCTTGTCGATCGTTTTTAAATATTCCAACAGTACATGGTGAGACCTTTCAATCGACCTGTTAGACTGCGAATAAAATGCTGTATTCTTATACTGTTTTATTTTGAATTCTCGCACTATTGCCTTTATAAAAGAACTTAGAAAGTTCTTTATCTGTAAAGATAGCGCGCGGTGCTCCGAATTTACAAATTAAGTCACTGACCATTATATTTGCTATGTCAATGGACGTGATGTTACAGAGGGTTGCTGCGATGGAGAACTTTGTAAGTTGATTTTGGATGGTCAGTATAAATTTATTTCCCTTTGGAGTTTAAAGGAGAGGACCGACAATATTCATTGCTACTATATCGAATGCAGCACCTGGTGTGTCTGTTAGTATCATCGGGTGTTTGTTATTTATTCTAACCAATTTTGGTAGTTGGCATTCTAAACAATTTTGAATAAAAAGTTGTATTTGTTCTTTCATGTTTTTCCAATAATAATGTTGTCTTATTCTGTTGTAAGTTTTTGTTGTCAATAATAATGCTGTCTTATTCTGTTGTAACTTTTTGTTATCTCTTTATGTATACTCCTGATGCGTGATATTTTCGTATTAGATACTCCTTCTTATGTTTCTCAGGTGTTTTTGTCAAATTTTTACAAATGCAAATCGTATAAGATTCTCTATTAAATATCTCTCCCAGCCTTTTTTCGATGTATTGCCATGGTACATTATCAACTTTGACAGTCTTTGAAATGGATACTGTACAAAGATCCAGCTCTCGTATTGCCGACAATAGCGATACGAGTGCGGAATCTTGTATTTCATCACTTAACATTATGTTGTCCGTTTCCTTAATGAGTAGAGATATTAATTTGTTCTTTCAGAAATTTGTTACTCTTGCAGGTCCCAACGTTAGATCTTTATATTGAAAAAGCTTTCCGAGTTTGGCCAATTGTTTAGCTCCTTCATCATAAACAATTCAGCGCATAGCTGATGAAGATCGCTGAATTGTCTTTTTTAATCGAAATTTGATCGTGTGATTCTACCATATTCCACGAATCGTTATGTTTCCTCTGAATGAGGCGATATAATGTACGGACACGAGGCAGAATCAAACATACTTTCTGATCTAGTGTACGAATCGTCGTCTCTTTGATTGGGGCGGAGAGAGATATTGGAACCACTACCTGAAGCCTCACGCAACACTTATCTTATTTCGGAATTATCACCATTTACCTGGTTTATACAGATGTCTAATAGCGTCGAAACTCCTACTGATGGTTCTTCTCTCAGGTCTAATGTTTGTTCATTTATCTTTGGTCTGATTGACATTGACTGATCTGACGATTTGTCAGATGATGTTTCGTTCGATGGAGGAATAGTTAAAATCTGCATAGTTTCGGGAAGATTCCGAGATAGAGCATCCGCGTTTGCATTAACTGTTCCCGATTAATAGATGATATTGAAATTATATTCAGCTAATTTAAGAGCCCCTTTAGTTAGTAGAGAACTTGGATCTTTAACTGACTTTAGCGCTACTAATCTCTGTCTCTCTCTCTCTCTCCTTCTCCCTCCCTCTCCGTCTCTGTCTCTCTCTCTCTCGTTTTCGACGATCAAACGATTCCGTTATAAATAATTCTTTCTGTTCTAAGCTCGATGATTTCGATCGTTACTAACCATTTTACACAACTATCACACCAAGTATCCATATAAGACCAGTTTATATTTCTCCATTGTTCCGGCGTAGTAGCGATAATGTTAATAAACCAAACTTACGAGTGACCAAGCTAAGATGAACGAGGAAACACAAAGTGTACGTGATTCTAAAAAAAAAGAAAGAAAGAAAGAACAAGAGAGAGAGAGAGAGAGAGAGAGAGAGAATGAGAATGGAGTTAAAAAGCCGCAAGGATTGTTTTGGCTGGTGCACAACAACAAAAATACTAAAAGAGAGCCAGAGAGAATGCGGGAGGTAAAACTAAATTCCACGATGGTTCGGGAGAAATGTCAACTTTCTTAATGCGCATTTTGTTCTTTTTTTCGTATTATCACTGAAGTCATACATCTTGAACGATATTGGACAAACAACTTTGTGTTCAATCGTTTCTTACCATTATCTGGTAATTTTCAAGAATAAATTTCACACCAATACATGAAAGCCTGTTTTCTTTATTTCGCGATACAGTATGTGAATTGTTTGCAAATGCTTGAGGAGTAAGAAGAATTGCTTGTAACAGATAGATCACAATCACATATAGGGCTAAGAAAATGTGGTCCTACATCGTGGAAAGATTGTGAAAAAATATTGTTAACGCACCGTAACATGTTTTTGGCCATCATACCACGTGCGTGATTAAAGAATATTTTTGCAACGGAAATTAATTTATATTACGTAACTCATTAGTAGTATAAATACGAATGGAGCACATAAATTATCAAATAAAGATCTGAACATATATTAACACATAACGTACGAATATTTGTAAATATCTTTTTATAAGTAAATTTTTAAACATCTGTTTATATATCTTGTAATAATACTATAAATATTTTTGCATTTATTGTATATAATCAAACTAACGTAGGTTGTACATCTACATAGATTTGATTCTATAATCTTAAAACTAACAGAAAATTCGTCGCTTCGGCAGGAAAACTTGTATTTTACAATATCAAATAAATATATCTATTAATTTCTTCAAAATAATGTAGTGCAATAACTAGTTTATTATTATATGTATTTGATAATAATAGCAATATGAGAGAAAACGAAGAATTGTAATACTTTTTGCAAGTAGATATAAGTGTATCAATGAGCTCCTTCTAAATAATATTTTCACCAGTTTATTATTATAACGCATTATTTTTGACAAGAAGAATAATATGATAAAATTAACGAAGTATGAATCATTATTATTATTTGAATTGAAGCTATTGTCTGTAACTTTGACTAGATTTAACGTAAACCTATTTGTTCTTTGTCAATAAAACGAATAATTTTGAGTATATTTGCATTATTATTTGCGGTTATTGTACATAAGAACTACTCACTTGCCAAATCAATTAACTCCATAAAACAAAAACTGGAGAAATATGGTAAAATAATATAAATTGCTTTTTAAAATTCATAAAAAATAGCCAAATTACATGATCTTGGTTACCAAATAATATGATCACTTCACAAAATAACGAATTCTTTGAATTTTTCAGCCAGTAAGTCACTTGACGATTGATGAGAAGCCAATATCATTCGTGTTATCGATGAAATTAAGTCCTATTCGTATGATAATGTAATCGAAAATTAGATAGAAATGTGATCATACAGAGCTAAAGTGGTCACTTGACCATTATTATTTTTCATACATAATGATATCAGCTGAATGTATTTTAAAATGAAGTAAAAAATATTACAATATCACAAATATAATTTGCTTTGTTTTAATTTAACCCTTATAATTAACTAAGTGTGTTTATCAGGCATTACACTGACTATTTTATTCTTAATTAACTTTACTTTTCGACCACTCAATTGTGTCTCTAAATTCCGTATACTTTTTATTCGCATCTTAGTTAATCTTTTTTTTATTTTATTCTAAACGCATCCATTTCACTTTTATGACTAGAAAGAAAAAAATTATTTGCTGCTAATTTGGGAAGATAAGTGAATTGTAATCATAGAAAAAGTTTCAAAATCGAATATGATTACTGATTATTATCGAAATTATATTTTTCTTGGAAATGTATAAAGATTGTTTTAAAATGATTTGAAGATTATTATTTGCATGTTATGGTCGCATTTAAAGTAAGATATTCCAAATTTAATACGCAAGCATATATCAAAGATAAATTAGAGCTGCCGATCGTTAATTGCATTAAATAATCGGAGTGATAATAGTTAAAACTTGTTGTAAGTTCTTAATGGAAAATCCTATTTTAAATTACTACCTTTCTAAAAGCTTCTGAATACTTTGCATAAAATAATGCTATCTCTGATTAAATTCCCTATTTTATAATATATATATTGTAAAATTTCGTAATATTTACAATATAATATATTGTAAAACCTCTGCATTACCACTTTTAAATATAAGTTATTAGAAGTGATAATATAATATTTTAGATATAAAGATGTTAAATATAAATTATAGAAAATTGTTTATTATTTATAAAATATAAACTGTATTTACATAAAAAAAAACTATCAAAGCATAATTTTATACCTTTTACATTTTATAAATTAGTCAAGACAAATATAAAATTCTCCACAATACTTATATTGCCTATTTATAAAATATAAATATAATAATAATATAAAAGATATAAATTATTTTTTATTGTCCGATTCTAATTGTTAATTTTCATTTTGAGCAGTTTCACTACAAATTTTTTGCTTTATCCACGCTTTCGCTAATGCCAAGAAGTTAAGATTTGCTCTTTGGTATTCGTCTTCTGGGAATATGAAGTCGAATACTTTTTCCCGAAGCCGAATATCTACTACTTAATATAGATTATTATTAATATAAATTAAGAATACTTCTTTTTAATTTAAATTCCTCCAAAACTATTCAATGTTATTGTACTATTTAATGTATATTATAAAAACTACATACTCCATCTTCTTCAACCATTCGACTTCTTCATTTAATTCTTCTAGGCATTTTGACAATAATATTAATCTATTTTGTTTGTCTCCTTTCTCTTTTTCGAAATCTCTCCATGTTCCCAAAAGTAATATTCTCCTTTCTTTGTCACCGTTTGCAAATAATGCATAATTCCCATGTTCAAAAATTCTACGAGCTAAGGTAACATTATCACCATCATCTTCCGATGGAGAATTAACTAATTCAAATTTAGCATAAGTTATTCAAACGTGTATTATAATGTAAAAATATTTATAAATTAAGTTTAATATATGTATATATATATATATATATATATATATATATATATATATAATCATACTATGAAATCAAACTTACTTTGACATGAACATTTCGTTCTAATAATCTCTCTAATAGTTGTCTGATATTTTCTATTTCATCCTGAGATATTTCAAAATCTATATATGACTTCCATAAAAGTTCAGATATATCCAAACTAAATAATAAAAATAATAAAAATATTAAACATGTTTTTGATAAAAAATAAAAATAAAAGAAAAAGACAGCTTTAATTACATTTAGTAGTAATTTATAAAAATATAACTTAATTCGTCTAAGACACAGCTGATTCATAAATAGCTCTAGGACGGTTAAAGTCTCCTAATAAAGTTTCTAATTCTACGAACTATATAGACATTATGACAATTAAATAAATATAAGTACAATAAAACATAAGATAAATGTAACTATAAGAAAAGTAGTTTACTTTCATTCACATTGTGCAGTTTTGAAGTGCTAATTCAAATAATTTTTTATACAGAATCCTGCATCTGTCAAATTTTCTAGATTGTACCTCTAAATCATTGTAACAACAGAACAATTTCTATTTGGAATACACACCCAATACCATACCTTGAAAAAAATGAAATTAAATCTTTCAAAATACAATAATTTAATACTTATAAATAATAAAAAAATTATTATAATAATAGGATACTAATGTTTTTCTCGCTACAGTCAAATTTTTTTGTTGTATTTCGAAATATGCATAACATAGCCATATCTTAGAAAATGTGAAATGTTTATATAGAATAAGATCTAAACAGATTCTAAAAAATAAAAAAATGTTATAAAATTTTATCTTCATATGCAACAATAAAGTATTATAAAGCTATCTCTTTATATATAACAATAATTTTATACAAAATGAACTGTACCTGTAAATTTGACGACATCTATCTATAACTTCCGTGTCAATTTCTTCATACAAAGCATAATTTATGTACAGATAGACATATCGTTTCCATGCTCCGATAAAAAATTTATTTAATGGAAAGGAACTTCAATTTGACTTCAAAATTGTTAAAATATAAATATTCATTACCTTAGTAGAAGGGACATTTGCTATAGCTCGTTCATATGCTCTTACAACATTATGATTTTCTTTAGATTTTACTAATCTCAAATAGTCAAACCGAGCATCATAGAAGAATTTTCCTTGACTGCTTGCTCCTATTGAAATTTTCTTTTAGTAATTATTACATCTTCAATGCCTATTTAAAAATGTTATGAAATTTGTGTTATTTTTTTATAAATTTGTACAAATCCATATTAATACTTAAAACTTTTAAATTTATATTTCGTATTAAATAAATCTTAATCTTTATAGTATAAATTACTTGCAAAATCATCATATTTCTTTTCGTGTATGGTATATGCATCATATATTTCTTTTGTTCCTTCTTTTGAAATATTGTCTAAAGCATACTTAGAAATTATTTTTGTTTTATCATGCTATCAGAGAAATATTAAAATTATACTTATAACAGAGATACAAAATATATTGTTATCTTAAAATAATACTTCTCTTTGTCCTTTTTCAAATCCTGCAAATGCTATAAATAGCTTTTCATCTAAGTTTTCATCTCCGAAAAAGTTTATAACATCTTCATAAACTTTGCGTCCTACATTTATTACAAAACTATATATCTCCCTATACAATTATATATCTCTACCTAGCTCTTTGTATTTCTTTATATCGTAATTCAAATTTAATTTATGTTTACCATGCCTCTTAGTCAGGTCCCCATTCCATCCATCGTTCAAAAACTTGACGTGTTTCTATAATAAATCTCTATAAAATCAAGACAGATAATAAAAAATAATCCCTAATTTTATATCAAATCTTACCAGTAATATTTTCTAACATTTCTTCTATATATATGTATTTGTATCAAAATTGATTTATTCTAGGTAAAATTGTGACCGCACGATCTAATAAATTTCTGGCATAACTTATTTACTTACTGTGCATTTCTATTTCAATATAATATAGCCATAATGTAATGTTTCTATGATCAACATCCAGCGCACGTTCATATACAGATTTAAAATAAATTGGACATATAAAACCTTTAAATATTTTTAATACAACTAAGACTATAAAATGTACTATTTTTTGTATTTAAAGTACCTTGCTCTTTGCATTGTTTCTAATTTTTTTCCCATCGGGCATATTTCATCAGATTCGTTATAACCATATGATTCTTACACATATTGTAGTCATAGGTATTTCATTTTCCATATTGATAATCAACCAATTTATGGGGATTTTTTATTTTCTGCTTAGGTGGATAAAAGGGGATACTTACAAATGAATTATTCTCTATGTAAAATTATAGATAGGTATAACAGTATTGCATAAAGATTTTTTTCTTTGTTTCTCTTAATAGCTGTTTTGCTATGATTTAAATTTTCTCGGGTGCTTTGTTTTTCATCTAAAAAAAATTTTAATTGTGAATATTACAATTATAAGTTGTGCATGCTATAATTTATAATTATAAAATAAAATATTCTAATGTATAATAATCATTTTACCTTAGCCACTTTGGGCATTTTTTGTAACTTTTCCGTGACGATGGGTAATCGTTATTCTAATCAAATAAACACAGTTTCGTCAACGCTCAAGTGAAAACATTCTCGCAACTGGTTCGTTCTACGCCGTACCTATCGCATATGTTCTTTTAACCTTTTAGCTACTAAATGCCATTATAATGGCTTTCGCATGTTATCTTTTTGAAAGGTATGCTACTATAGAGGCATTCGCGCAAATCATTTTTTCGAAGGATAAGAAGTCACTATAATTACATTCATGGATATCATATTAACATATTGTGTACTTTTTGAATTCTTTACATAAAAATGTATAAGTAAATTATATCTTATTTATGTACAGCCCTATTTCGATCTAATGTTCGATCTAATAATAAGAAATGTCGTCTATAGTTTACGCGCTGAAACTTTGCACATCAAATAACAATAGTATTATTTTTATTTAGTTTTGTTCGATATACAATAGATCAGCTTGTGACTTTCAGCAGTTACAGCAGTGACTTCGAGAAGAGTCCAAGAAAGAATAAATGATTTCTTTTGTGTTCTCGGCATCTTTGTCGTTTACTTTGTTTTCGACGTCTTTGTTGTTTGTTTCTCACTTTATTTAGTTAGTTTCCCACGTGTGCGTTTGATGGCGCCGAGGCGTGTTAATTATGTGTATTGCCGGAGGATGGGTCACAGTCGCCACGAGACCGCCACAATTGCGATTACAGCGCCAAAGCATTGGGTAAATACAACGTCATAGTCATTTTTATAAAATAAAATAAATTATAAATTGATATTTGGTATTACCAATACTTAAACTATTAGTTGAATTTAACATTTTAAGGCTGTTAACTACCTTTTGCACTAATGTGTGTGATCTTAGCGACAAGTATGGGCAAAATATGAACTAGGAAACAAGCAACGGTATCTGTCGCCACCGTGCATCTATCGTATCGGGGTAGTTATTCCCCTCTCACACATGCATAATAATTGGTTTCGTTGGATCATAGTAAGTTGCGTTAAGAAGTAAAATGTGAATTTCCACTTTTCATTCTCTTATGTGTATACCTTTCTTTGATGGGATCGTTTATCTCGCAGTAGTTCGTGTTAGATACGATGTTGTCGTACCTTTTTCGTATTATTTCATGATAAATCCATAGAAAATAATAAATATAACTAACATATAACAATTAGTATACAAATCTGCAATAAAAAATAAGAATTCGTCGAATATTTTCTTAAAAATAATTAATGAATACTTATATATTATATTATTTTTATACAAATTAAAACATGATTTCATTACTACACTATCTATTAGGAAGAACTCCCAACACTATTTTTTATGTGATCTTTCCTGTAAGATTAGTCCATTCTATCCTGCTTAAACTATCACTAGTTCTACTGATAATAATAACGATATAATATAATATAATATAATATAATATAATATAATATAATATAATATAATATAATATAATATAATGTAATGTAATGTAATGCAATGCAATGCAATGCAATACAATACAATACAATACAATATAATATAATAATACTAATAATAATAATAGTAAAAATAAACTTAAATATTATTTATATACATCTAGATATTATTTAATATATTTTATTTTATAACAATAAAGACAATCAGCTTTGACTGATCGTGGTGAAGAAACAATATGGAAACATATACCTAACGACCATAAGATATTAAGCAACGATAGCGGATAAAAATCTACTTTTGATCATATGTTGTTTTCTTCTCCACTCCGTTGTCGTCGCTGCGGCTGCATTTACAAACAACTTTGTATTTTTATACATATAGGAAGATATTTCGGCATCTGCTTATTTTAATCAATATGATGAAATACTCCTGGAGTTGCTGGTAGTTCATTGTAAAAACAACTTAGAATTGCTAAAAGGTCTTATTAAAAATTGCTTAGAGTGCAAAGAGTTAGTCGTATCTATCGTTGGATAGTCATGCGTTAAAATTATCAAGGACACGATTTGTTGAGAGATTTGTTCTAGATTAATTCTTCGTCTTTAAAATGCGACCTCGTTCATCAAAATCGGTCAAGAATTACGCCAGTTCTCATTAATTACGTAAATCATAAAACCATGTTTAATGAACATTCTTAAACCAAAAAAATGTATATCTATTTTATCAAAAATGCTTTTTTATCAAAAGAGAAATATTTTTATACAAAATATCTATTAACAATCGTAAAAATTTGTTAGTTAGATACAAGTACAAGCCAATTAATAGTAAACGTAGATCATGTTAATGTATTTGGCAAAAAAAAATAGACATTGCTACTTATAGCATATGTAAAGTCACACTAGGATAGATTAACTTATAATTAAAATATTCACTCTCAATCTAGTCTTTGTCTGGTCAAAAGCATTGTGTATATTTATTTGTTAAATAATACTTTTGAAACAAAATAAAGAGCTGAAAATTGTATATTATTATATGTTTTATATTATTGGTTACATTTGTTGTAGATGATGGTTATACCTTAATAAACAATAAACACAGATTTATAAGTGTTTTAAAAGAAATTAAAAAATTTAAATACAAATACCAGTAATTCTGAAGACAATAAATATATTACATACATTTTATTACAAAACATAAAATATTACTACTATTTGTTCTTATATCACTATCATCATATATTATCATAAACAAAGTTGTTAAGTTAAGCTGTTATGGAAAATCTCAGTTGCATGAAAGTCATAAATAATTGCTTTTTATTGATCATCTACAAAGTAAAGTTTTGTCTGAGCTGGAAAGATTAGGTTTTGGACCTCAAAGTTTACATATATGTTCAACATATTTCATATGTGTGTTCTAAGATTGTAGATCATTATTATCATTACTATAATTTTTATTTATTTTAAATAAATATATGATAAAATGTAAATACAATATATAAGTTACAAATTTATGTTCGTTATCATGAGAAATCATGAGCTTTTCCAACAGACGAACGAGTCTTTGGACCAGATATCCTTTGATTCTAATATAAGTATGTAAATGTTTTAAAAAATATTCCATTGCATAGAGTAATCTAATTAATACATTTATATAAAAAATTAATATTGTTTTGAAATATCATCATAAACTACACTTGAAAATAAATTAGATTTTTGTTACTTTGCAACTTATGCTATTGCTGTTTGTATAGTTTCAAATTTTCTATAAGGAAATGTTAAAAGATATGAAATTGCAAGGCCAATACTTTGGCCCTTATATAAAAACCAGAAAATTCGTTTCATTGGTAAGAAAAGAAAAACAATTTCTTCCATAGCCGCATATTTTCTTATTAATCTATATCCTTCTTTTTTTTAAATACAACCTTTTTCCATTTTTAATTTAATGCCACGTTCAGAATCATTAATTTTTCCGTATTAATGATGGATATTTTATAAAATTATACATCAATTTCATATATTGGTGCGCTGTAAATTCTTATACAGTCGTATTTTTATACTTTGAAAATTACCTTCTTGAAGATGTTTTGACAATGTATAATCATAGGATAACTCTTTCACAATTTGTTACATAAAATGACAAAGTAACTTTATGTTCTTTAACAGAAAAATATATATAAATAAATAATCTTGTAAAAATGCAGAATTTTCGAAGATGTATCTATATAGAGTGATTGATGAGTAAAAACTTCATAATTTGACAATAAAAATATCTCATCTATGAAATCACATAAGAAAACTATAAAATAATAATAATGATTGAAATAACACGAAAGACAATTATAAAATATCAAAATGTCTTTATGTGTTAATTGTTAAGACAATATGGACCAATAACAAGATATCTCACATTTTCTACGTACTAAGCAAGAGTGGTATTATGAGTTAGTAGATTAGTAATAAGAGTTAATAATTAAAAATTCTATTCGATTAATCGTAATTTTTTGAATTTATGCAAGATATTTTAAAAGCGTGATACAGAAAATAAAATAAGATATAAAGTTTTTTACGAAGTTTCATATATTGCTCTATGTACAGATCACATACATTACAAGCAAAGAAATGAAATGCGCTATGTTTGCAGGCTATGTGGAGTTTCGTTTTATTCACTAAATATCATACTTTAAAAAAATTTTAGTACACACAATTTATATCAAAAACGCATATAATTTCAAAGTATTTGTTGAAAACAAATATTAATATGACGATGTTAGAGATTTAAAAATATTTTATGCGAAAAAAGATGGTTAGTAATAAAATGTCTGGTCTGTAATATGTTAAAATGGTTTATTATTATGACATATTGTGTTTTCAATTTCTGATCAAAAGATTATAGTATAAAGTGTAATTGAAAATTTTAAACATTTTATTGTTAAAAATATTTTTATAATACTATTTAGAATAGAATAAAATAGTTAGCAAGTGAATAATATTAATTCTTTATTCATTCATATAATTAATATTTTATAGTATTAGATACGTTTATATGACATTACGTAAAGCTTATATGAGAATATGTATCTTATTTTCTCCTTTGATTGCCGATAAATAGTGCTTTACCGATTTCTTTCTCCTTTAGGTTCATATTTTACCTTCACCGTAGATTGTAAATAACAATTTTAATTTCCTCACAACTTTAAAAAAAAATGTCCTATGCGATCTTGAGTTGCCATTGTATTATTTCTTGTTGACAAGGCGAAATTTTTTTATACTCGTGTAAACGCGCGTATGCAAGTGGGTGTGTGTGTGTGGGTATATACGACACACGCATGTGTGTATATGACGTATGATTAATGAAGCCATATGTGTAAATTCGTCTGCTAAATCACATTCTTGTCAATTAAATTTTGCGTTCTTTTCAAAATTATTTATTATAACAATCACTTTTTATTCTTAGCTTCTTTTATTTTATTTCTTTCTTAGACATGCTTATAACGAGTGTTTTATGAGTCAACAGACATTTTTCTTTTTGTAAGATTTTTTTCTAAGTTTCTAATGTGATTTAAAGGGCAATGAAGGATAGTTTCTTCGAAATGGAGACTAATAGCGTAACAATATGAATATTTTATGTAATACATTATAGATTGATGTAAAAATATACAAAAATGAATTATTGTGTGTATATATATATATATACACACATATATATATATATACACATAAAATATAAAAAAATATATAAAATATATAAAATATATCTTTCTATTATATATATCTATGTATATATGTATCATATACTGTGACGTACACGTGTGTCCCTCAGTTATTCACAGTTCTTTCTCCTAAGAGTCATATATATATTACTATTCGAAATATCTGCTTTTGGGAACTCCTTGGATACTTGCTAAGAATGAACATAGATAAAAAACATATTACCACCTTTGTTCGGGTTTTGACATTTTTAGTCAAGTACCTAGTCTTCAATAATATGCCGAAATGGGCAATAAATAAACTGTGAAAGTAGACTCTTAGGTGTGACGAGCCAAGGGTTTGTCTGGCGCTTATCCTTCAAATATCAATGCAACTCTCATGAGTCCACACAGTCACCAAGACAAAGTATCATACATGAGACTGTTTAAACATTTCGAATAAACTATCTTAGCACGCTCACTATCAATAAGGATGCTGCTTTCATTTTCCTAACATTTTTTACTTAAACTCTTTTCTTTCCATTTTCCTTTCCTAATTCATTAATACGTTCGTGGATAGTTCGGGAGAAATCTACAGTCAATCGCAACAAAGCATTTTCACTTAGCAGTAAAATAATCGAGTCTTATCAATATCACTGGCTATGCCTCAATCGGGGCTATCCAGCACATTCTAAACAGCAACAACATAAGTACACGTTATTATACAAGAGCAACAATTGTATCTTATTTCAACAAATATACTCTGATAACAACAATTCACACTATATTTGTTATCTACCTTACAAGCTGCACGGGATCCTATAAAAGAATGCGCGTTCTCCCATTAATTTGCATTAATAAACTCCGATGGTATCCTAGCCTTGTGCTGACTCTTATTCATAGCGTCCAGTTAATCTATAACTCTGACGATTAGGAAGGTCGGGGAAAGATTCTCCGTATAAATCAGTTATTATCGCTCGTCTAATCTCTATTAGAGACGCGTATTTAGAAAAGCTCTCGTAGTTGCTTCTCACACGACGCAATATACACATATAGGATAATACATTTCTATATGTATATATATATATATGTGTGTATATATGTGTATATATATATATATATGTGTGTATATACATGTGTATATATATATATGTGTGCATATATATGTGTATATATATATATATGTGTATATATATGTGTGTATATATATATATATATATGTGTATATATATATATATATATATATACAAAGAATGATACACACACACTTGCATATATATAATAAAGAGCATACAAGTCGACTTAATAGAACATGCGCGCGTGCCTGTACGTGCGGGCATGTGTGAGATATGTGATGTTGGTGCGCATGTGCAGCCAATCAGTTGGGCTCTTTGTTCTTCTCATCATCTGTTATGCTTATTTCAGTTCTGAAGGTCTACGAGAAGTGTCGTTAGTACTGTCGTCAGTTACTATCAGTTATAAGGACGAAGAAGATGGTAGAAGAAATTTCATGATGTAACTTTGAACAAAGAGCAGGTGTTTTATTTTTTGTTTCTCTTCATATATAGTAAAAGCAGATAAGTATATATGTATCAAAATACTGGTCCAAGAAAGTAGATTAGTTATTTTTTTGGGTAGGACATTAATTTATTAAAACTTGCTTTTTGCATATTTGTTGCCATTAATTCTTTGCAACATTATATAATTTAAAAATTGTATTTAACGCTCATCTGTATTTTGAAAATTTCATTTTATTTCACCAGTAAAAAAGAAATTCTTACTTTATATGTAAAACTTTTCATATGTTTAATAAATATGTGTTATACTTAATATATATATATTAATATATATATATATATATATATATATATATATATATATATATATAATAATAATATAATTGTTTGCATATAATATTAATTGTGTATATATAATAGTATAGTTATACAAGTAATATTATAACTTTCACATTACACAATTCTGTTTATATATACGAAAAAGAAATCGATTTGTAGAGGATGAAGTTAAAGAAAAAGTAACACAATAAAAAAATTAAATGTAGAACAAATGTATTATATATAATGAAGGTTTAGTGTAAGTCTTTATTCTTTTAAATTTTTCTTTTAGAAAGACAAGTTATTTATTGAAAATTATTAGTTCTTCACGAAAAGCATCACTTTCTTTCAGAAACCGATTAAACATTTCTGATGATACCGAATTCTAATATTTTATTTCAATTATATAATATTTTAACTATATTATACAATTTAACTATGCTATACTATTATAATTATATTATACAATTTAACTATGCTATACTATTATAACTATATTATTAAACCTATATAGATAAAAATGAATAGATAGAGATATTGTTTCTTTAGAATATTTACAAGAATTATTCAAATTTATTACATAGATAATTTTACTTCTTATTCGATTTATTATTTGCTTGTATATTAGTATAAAATGTTTAAAAGATGGTGCTCCATAGATAAGTCTTCGTCATTCTTGTTGCTGGGATCGCTGAGACCAGTTTGGACCCGTATGTGATAACGAAGTTTTATCATTTCGTAATTACAGGTAATTAAGATTTTTTTTTCTAAGTTATTTATTCGTCCAATATACATAATCGATCATCAAACATGAGACTTCTACGACATAGTATTTGCAAGTCAAGAAAATATTGCGTTTCTGAAATGTTGGCGAAAATAAAATTACCGTTTACATGTTTTCATCGCCGTGCTATTGCGTCATATTTTTCTCGAATTTCTGGCCTTTATTTTTGTGGTATGTTTACTTTTCTTGTTTTAAAATAACTTAGTCCGTGTCCTTAGTCGAATAAAAAAGTCGAATAAAAATAAACAAAACATTCGCTTGCTAGGCACGTGATAAGTGCGATGGATAATAGCTATTGGCTGTTAAACTACTATTGATAGTCAACTGTAAAATTTAGGATTGAAAATGGGTTTTTATTAGTTAGTTTCGATTTCTCGGGTTTACTAGACGGATGACGGGTTACTGGCAAATTGTTGAAGAAGAGTCTGAAAATTGTAAATACGGTTCTGTTCTGATCACGCATGTTTATTTCTACTGATGATTCGTTGAACGGAATATAATAATTTATAAATTATTAATCTTGACTGATCGTATTATGTGTTATATTCGATTTTTATCTAAATCTTATATATTCGTGTATATACATATGCGTACTTAATATATCGTACATATAATGTATATACATGTGTGTATATTCCTGATAAATACTATACATGAATACTAATACTACATATATGCATACATATATGCATACATATATCACACGTACACGTTGTGTATATAACTCGTCATGGATAAATATATGTATGTTCATACATTTGTACAGATACGCACATGTACATATATAGAATTCTCAAAATTAAGACATTTCTTTGTCACATCAGCCAACGAGTGACCTGTTTCGTTCGGAATTGTTATTGTCAAATTCATGATATAATACATAAGACAGCGAATGCTATCTTATTTATAATATAAATTAAGGATAAATATATGTAAATAGGTTGGAAGGAAATGGTAGGATTTGAAAAACAAGAAAGAACATTTTGTAAGAAGTTGTGTTGTTGTCAAAAGAATATTATATTACCTTTTATAAGTTATAATACATACTACGTATATTGGGTACTATATATTATATGTAACATACGTACACATATATATACAGTATATATATACAGTATATATACAGTAATACATAAAATTTTTTGAATCGACGAAGTTGGAAACACAGTGAAGGTCGTGTATTATATTTTACTGTTTTTATTATGTAGTCGAAGTAAGCTAAGTATGCTGTTAAAAAAAAGGTCAAGTATGTTTTGATGTATGAGGGCGTTAAATATGAATAAATCTTCTATTACGTCCTAGGAAATGATATCAGTAATTGTTCTCGAAAATTTGTTTTCGTGTACGAACTTACGAAAGATTTGTAGCAGGGATGGGTATAGATGACCTCTCTTTCTTAGGATGATACGATACCTACTCGCAATAACATTCTCGGCTATTTTTCTGTTGTATAAGTATTTGCGTGTTAATTATTCCAGTGAAAATTTAACTATATTTTATTTTAGAATAATTAATAATTATCATAATTATTAATAATTATGCTATGTATTTTTATTATAAAATAATTAGTATCGTGAACATTATTAATATTTTTTAGATTATATTGTGATTCGTAGGTGATATTATTTTTTAATTCTTTTGATTACCGTTACAATGTTTTTGTTTATTTCATTGTTACTTTTTGTTAGTAAGAATTTGAGTAATCTTTTATTTTTTGACTTTATACTTTTAACAATTTTTTTGTATTGTACAATAATATTGATATTGTTTTTATTTTCAGATTATGATTGCAGTTGTTCGTGCAGCTATAGATGAATCGATCTTTGTTTCGATAAAATAAAGGAATTGTGAAGTAGATTTGTTGTTAATGTTTTTCGGTTAATTTAAATTTGTTTGCGTTTTATGATGTTAAAAAACTTTTAGAAATATCTGTATGAATAGTTCGGGTCCAAAGCAGTCATAAAGTCAATATTTGTTCGTATAAAATTTTTTTTTTTTCTTCTACAATCAAATATACTGTAGATATTATATATAATACAAGCAATAGATATTCGCGAATTAAATTCATTGTTTGACTCTTAATTATTAAATAATTATTCCGCATTTGAGTCAGTGCATCATGGAAGATGATCAAGGACCTATTACACTTCTGTAGAAGAATATTGGTAAATAAATGTTTAAATTTAATAGCTAATATAATTCTACATTTCTTTTTATTACGATAAATATAATAAAAATTGTGTTTAATCCTTTTTCAGATTTGCATTGTCATTAAGCCAATGTATTACAAATTCAATCTAATTAATTTTCCATCTACGTCGATTTATTTCATTTTGGACTTATGACGGAACAGCTTACATAAATTTCGAGCTACAACGGGGCGAGTGTTTTGGAGCTATTGTGGATCTTAAGCAGTGAGTGAACAAATTTCAGTCTCACCAGTATATATTATGTCGAGGATGAAAGATTCGACTTGACATGAGTTACTAGTTTTAATTTTTTCTATTAATAGTTGACAAATAACCATTAATAATTAACTTTTTGGATTTACTCTTGAATGGTACAGTTTTAATTTTTTTTTTATTGGGCATAGTCCAGTTTCATTAGCTTAGGATAGTATTTTCTTGTTTTATTAATGAATCATTTAATTAATACAAGTCATGCAACAACTCTTTGCAGTGTGATTTAAGTGCGATTGGTTGTCATAATTGGTGACGAAGGCGCTCGCTCACACGTTGGCTTCTGCAGCTTTTTGACCATGCGTGCTTAAACGTGTGCCAATTATGTGGATGCTAACGAAATTAATTATTATAAAAACCATAAAATCTGATTAATTTGAATAAACATATTTTTGCACATGCATTTAAACGTTATAATATAATCAAACAGATCATAACACAAAAAGTAAGTCTTTCGAGATCTTTTTTAGATGCAATAATCGAAAACAATTCATCCAGTAAAATGAAATAATTTTTGACCTAGAAATACTAGTAACATTTTATTTCAATTTATGAAGATATGCTTATTTTTAATTTCTATCATTTAGAAAAAATTAATAATCGTGTGATATCTTTGCAGTATGGTGCATCTAACACAATTTGGCATCTTTTGTATTTCCATGTTGTTTCAATGCATTTCTTATATTTTTCACTAATTTTATAAGCTCTTATTTATTTTTTGATATTGTTAAATTGTTTTTTATTTTCTTGTTTTTTTTTTTTATAGTTTTTTTATATTCTTTGAAAAATGAGCCCAATGTTGCATCTATAGTTTTCGTGATGTTTATTGCTATTCGATAAGTTATTCTGAATCGTTTTTCATTATCCACTAATTGTGCAGTTTTTAATAATAATTCTATAATATTTATTCTATATTCAGTATAACTTTGTTTTTTTTCTTTATTTATTGTTTCGCACAGTATATATCTATTAAAAAGTGCCTTGTCGA